AGTCAGTTCAAAAACATGTGAAGCTCTGCTTGGGCGAGGGGATTGAGGACATGACCCCGAGTCTGAATATCACAAGCCTATCGAAAGTTCTTGAAAGGGACTTCGTCCTCAAGGACATTGAAGGGCAAGTAAGAGAAAGCCGCGAGCAGAAGTTGAGCTTGCTTCCGCTCAGGTGGAGTAGGGGAAGGTGGAGGCTTGTAAGGTGGAAAGATCTTATCTGCGGAGAGGGCAAGCCTCAGTCTCTCTGTCCAGCAAGGATTTGGCGGAGGAGAAGGTGTGAATGCTTCTATTTTAGGAGGTGGAACAAGGGCATTAATATAATCAAGCCAGTCAGAAGAACAAATCTTCGCTTTTTGGGCTAAGAATGATGGATTGTACCCTTGTGCCTCTTCTAGGCATCGGGTGGTTTGCACTATCTTTGTAGGCATAAAAGATGTATACCATGCCACAAGCAGATTCTGCTCCAAACTGCGTCGATGGTCAATGGGCATGTAGGGATAGACCACTGAGCTTCGCGCATAAGAAGGGAACTCTAAAGGGTCAGTAAACTCAACAAAGTGATGGTTGATTCGTTCCCTCAAATCACAGGCCTCAGGTTTTGACCAGCTTGTCCAGTCAGAAGCCCCAGAAGAGGAAGAAGTTGCAGCCCTATCCCATGTAGAGGGTTTTGAAGAAGAACTTCCCATGTCCATATTTGCGACTTTTTGAATTAAAGGATTGAGAGCAATTTGTTCGTAGTTCGAGGGTGAGTCAGAAGAAAAACTTCCCATGTCCATATCTGTAAGTTTCTGAATTGAGGGATTAAGGACAATATGTTCGAAGTCCAAAGGTTGATAATTTGTAAAGGCATCCATGACTTGAATATAGAAAGGTGGGTAAAGGTGGCTAATTAATGCATGGAGGTTCTTTCGAGGAAGAACAGCATCATCATATGACTCTTCGTGTGCTCGATCAATGGAGGGAAAAATTGATTCGGCCATAAAAAATGTATCAGTCTGTTCGAATACTAAGGTGGTGGGGGTGTTCAAAAGATTGAAGGAGAGTTTAATGCAGATAATGAATGACAGTTGCATTTCTGGGAGAACGCAAAACCCATGCACGTTCTAAGACGTGGGAAAGAGACATTGATCCACTAATATCACCAAGTATTGGGTATATTAGTGTGAGGGGTAATGTTGGCTACATATTTTGTACAAGCCAGTTACAATTCGACGCGTGGCAAAGTAAGGGTAATATGGGAAGACTATTCAAGTCTTTGATCCTGATCGTATACGTGGCAATTAATATTGGATATTACGAGATCTGAGTAGCAGTGATGTGGCTTCAACAGTTACTCACATTTCAAATTCAAATTGAGGAGGGAAGCCTAACTACAAGTAATGGCGTAATGGAGCTAATCTTGAGGCAACATGATCAGCGATCATGAAGAAGCAGTTCGACGGTTAGAAATGCAGTTCGATGGTCATCCTTGAGCAGTATAAATAGCTGAGAAGGTCCCAGAAAAAGCCCCCCAGACTCAGATCCAAAAAACCAGTCTTATTCTACTTTACTTAGTTTTACATTTCCTGTTCTTTACATTCCTGTTCTTTACATTCCAGTACTTTAAATTCTGTACTGCACTTCATTCATAGGAGTAGTTTCAAGTAGATTGTCGCTGTAAACCTCTACGAGGCTGAGTTTGAATCATTGTAAGTTTTTCATTCTAATGAAATGCTTCAATTGTTCTTTATTTGATTAATATTTTGCTTAATTCTCCTAAATCAAGTCACCAGTAAAAGTCCTCTTTGTTGAGGCTGAGAGAACTAAAACACAATCGTCTGATAATTGATTGGCAATTAAATTTCTGTAAGGACTGATTGATCCTTACTAGCATGCTCGCAATTACAATAATAACCTTCAAAAGTCAAAAAGCCAACAACCTGAATCAAACCGTTTAAATTATATATATAATTTGTTACCGAATGTAAATACTAAACTATCTTGTTTGATATAAATTATAACCCTCTACTATTATAAATATATTTTTGTATAGTGATATAAGTAGTTTTAAACGATCATGTAACCAATTCTTAAGTTATGAATAATATTTGTGATCATATTATGAATAATGGTAATATTTTTAAAATTTGAGGCTCCAAACCGAACCAAACCGTGATTTAGTGATTCAATTCGAATTGGTTCCAAGATTTTCATGGATGAGTTTTGTTCCAAATTTGATAAGGTCTTAGTTTACGGCTAAATCGAACCAATCCAAACAATGCTCACTCCTATCGAGTGATGCAGTGATGCCTAAGGCCTTGTTGTTGTTGCTGTTGTTTTTTTTTAACTAGAAAAAAAGGATGCTCTATGGTGTCGTCACCGTATCCGTGGGTCTCAACCTCGAGATAGTCGATTGCCGGCCAGATTTAATCCAACCTATAGGAAGGGAGCCACCATTGAAGCACTAATGGAGTTCAGTCACACGCCACAAAAGAGGTTAGGGTCAATCCGAGTACAGAGCGAGGTCTTAAAGAAAGCCAGATGGAAAATCCAACTGTTTTCCACCCCCTAGGATTTGAACCTGACTCACCTCTGTGAAGAGAATTGCTTTCTTCACTAGGTCACCTCCTCCTCCCCCGGATGGTGACTAAGGCTCTGCTTGAGGTGAACTTTTTTGCCCAAAATAGCCAAAAAAGACAAAACACGTAATCACATCATTGAATCACTCGATAGGGGCAATCTTGTAGGTTTGGTTTGAATTTTTTAATTCGTGATTCGATTCTGGTTTGGAAAGTTTGGTAACCGATTTCCATAGATCAGTTCTAGATTCAGGTCCACAGTTTTGAATTTGAATTGAACTGGACCATATAACGTATACCATATATCTTTATTTGCTAGATATTATGTATGTTTAAGTTAATGGTGAAATGATGTGTAGTTTATGTTTTGAAAAATTATAGCAGATTAATATTGAACAATGCTTGCTTAATGTTATGTTTTTACTTAAGTGGTGAATATTATGAGTAGATTATTTGATGGACATGTTATTATTATTTTTAAAATGGGTAAATTATAAATACACTCCCTAAAGTTTATTTAAAATACAAATTGACTTTCTGTGATTTGAAAAATTACAAATACTCCCTTATTAAAAAAATTTATTTAACAAAATTAACTGAAAAATTGAAATTCTTAACTGTTCTCTTATACAGTAATAAAATTACTTGATTTATTAATTGAAATAAATTTCAAATATCATTAAAAACTATTACACTACAAGAATTTACACATTTTGCGACCACTTTTGCCGACCAAAAAAATTTTGGTCGCAAAAAAATGACATTTGGCAACCAAATATTAATTAGTCGCGAATGATCTTTATTTTTGGCGACCAAATATTATTGCTCGCAAAAGGTTATATTTTGGCGACCAAAAAATGAGTTGGTCGCAGAAAGTGGTATGCTTTTGCCGACCAACTACAAATTTGGTCATGGAAGGTCACATTTTTTTTGGCGACCAAAAATTTGATCGCCAAAAAATTATTTTCAGCAACCAAAAAAAATTAGTCGTCAAATTAGTACTTTTAGCCACTAATATTTTAGTCGCCGTTGATTGAGATTTGGCAACTAAAAAAATTTGTCGGCAAAGGTACTTTTTTTGCGACTAATATGGTCTTTTGGTCACCAAAAACTTATCTTCAGCAACCAAAAAAATCAGTCGCCAAATTAATATATTTAGCGACTAATATTTTAGTCGGCGTTGATTGAGATTTGGCGACTAAAAAGATTTGTCGGCGAAGATACCTTTTCTGCGACTAATATTTTCGTCGCCAAATATTAATGAAATTTATTTACTTTTGATCTTTGCCAACCAAAAATGTGGTCGGCAAAATACTTATTTTTAGTGACCAAAAAACATTTTGTCGGTAATAAAGTTAAACAATTTCAAAAACACAGATTCATTTTTTGGTGGGAATACACTCTTACATTACCGCCCAATTTATTTTCTATCAATATGTACATAGACCCAAACAAGTTCAGTCTCTTACTCTCTCTGTCTCTGTCTCTCTCTGTCTCTCTCAGACTCACCATCGTTGATTCGCCGTTCACAGTCACCGTTGGTCTTCCACCGTCGTTCACCTTCGATCTTCCACTGTCGCGCATCATTACAAATCAAAGTGCAACAATGGTAACCTCTCTCTCTCTCTCTCTCTCTCTATATATATATATATATATCTCTATACATACAAATATATGTGTAGCTAATTTCGAATTAGATTTTGATTTTGATTTAGATTTCTTTCAATCTTGTTTTCAATTCTAACCTCCTTTGCTAATGGAATTAATTATTGTTCTCACCTCCTTTGCTAATGGACTCCTCAAAAGTCATTTCGTGAGTATATTCCTTCTCCACCGTGAACAACCACCATCAGCCCTCTTTTCCCTTTTACCCTTGTTTCTCTCCCCTCCCCCTCTCTATATATACTATATAATTGTTATATGAATTTGGCTATGGTGAGAGTATGTGGATGACTTGTTCGATGAAATTCCAATATGGGTTTTGAATTAGAGAAATCATGATAATCTGTTGGATGAACTGGGTTTGGACTGATTGTCTTTTGATTATATTAAAAGATATTGGAAATAAGAAGAATACAAGGAATGTTAAAATTATATAAGCAATATGAATTTATTGCTTTATAGTTCTGTTTAGCTTGGAGTGGGCACAAGATTCAGTAGTTTTCTACTCACCTCACCTCCAAGTGAAAAGATGTTGATAAAGGATGAATACATCATGGTTTGGTTTTAATTCAGTTTTTTATTTTATTTTATTTTTTTATACCCATTAATTCCTGCTTGATTTTGTCAAATATGCAGCTTTTGGGGGAGCTTAACATGGGAGGTGTGAAGGCAGATGGTGGTGACGGTACTTTAACTTAAATTTAGATATAATCAGTTTTTTATACCCATTAACAGAAGCAATAATATTAATATATTTTTTGGTTTAATGAAGAACAGAATGGGATAAAACGTCTCTTGGAAATCAGTCAGATATTTCAGGTCATCCTTTTTGCAGCTTCTGTTAAAGTCATGCAAGGTATGTCTCATTCATTTATATACCAAACTATATTTCATGTTAATAATTTTTTTCCTCAAATGTTATTTTTTATTTTTTATTTTTAATTTAAACAAAGAGTGGTTTAAAGGAGAAAGCAACATCATTGAAACAAGCTATTTACAATATATTGCAGGAGGAGATAGAAAGTTCTTACAGTGCAAAACTTCGGGAGTCAAAAAATTCACTGAGCTCGTAGTCTTTTCTGAGCTTTTAGCTTTCTAGGATTGTGCCATAAGAAGTAAGTGAAAATTATGTAAAGTGTTATTACTCTATTTTTATGTTGTGAAATTGTGTCTCGAAGAATCCAGTAGAATTAAAAAGAACATTGACAATTGTGTAAATTATCATGATGTCAAACCATTACAGTTTCCCTCTCTATTTGTTGATCTTGGTCTTTTATTTATTTATTTATTGTTGATAAATCTAGAACTGACCACTTTTGAGATTGAAAGAAATGATTTGGTTAAATGTTTAGCAGAATTGGAATGGATTGAAAGTAACCAAATAGTGTCTCTGTTATGTTGAGAGTTGAACATTGCTTTCACTTGTGCATTGCTTTCTATCTGATTAACATTGCTTGATAGTGTCTCTGATTAACTTTTGGAGCTGTTCTTATTTGGAAAAAGAATTACGGTGTAGTGCCTGTTATTTACCCATTGGCTGGTATAGAAATTTTTTCAAATATAACACCATACTCTTGTTTATAGTTAAGCACATGTTTTGACTAATCAAATAAGAATTATGGTGGAGTGCACATGTTTTGACTAATCAAATATGATGTAGTGCACATGTTTTGACTGATCATGTTTTGACCACATAATTACTCTGCAAACCATAGATCCCCTATACCAAAAATCTGTTACTAAAATGTGGGACCTCTAGTGATGTTTAGAATGTCTCATGTCATTTCTTTATGTCAGTAGCTTTAGGGGAATTGAGTTCTATCCTTTTTTGTATTTTTCTTTCATGATCTTGTCAATTGACCTTGCTTTGGGTCTTTGTCATTTTTGTAAAGCTATGGTTATAATTTTTGCATCATATTTGTTTTAGTATGATCTACCGTTGTTGATTGTGTTATCCTTTGCACTTGTACTAATGTCAGATGGTTTCTCCTAATGCTAATTGCATGTATGTGGTTAAAGCATCTATGGCACATAGATCATCAGATGAATCCTTAGTCTATGCTATATGATTTTTTTTCACTAGCACTTTATTTACCTTCAATGGCATCTGTTACAGCTGAAAATATTTGCAGGATTGGCCTTTCCTCCCATTTACTTCTACAATGGAGGAGTTAGAGAGTTCCTTGCTACAATAAAGCAACATGTTTTTATTGCGAGGTAGGTTGTTTTTAATTTTAATTGTTCTTTTCAACTTGAAATCCTTTGATTGTGAGTAATGAGCATAGTTGGAGACAGAATAAATTTGTTTTTTGGACTAGAATATATATTTTTTATTATTGCAATATGAATGTCGAATTCCCTAGTTTGTTTTTCTGACAATCTATTTTAATTTAATATGATTGATTTTTGTTCATTTGAACCACATAAAATTGTTATTAAGGCAACAAACATAAAATTGCCCATTCAATACAAAATTGTTATTTTTTACGGTGACATCGTCTCTTTATGTCAGTAGCTTTAGGGGAATTGAGTTCTATCCTTTTTTGTATTTTTCTTTCATGATCTTGTCAATTGACCTTGCTTCGGGTCTGTCATTTTTGTAAAGCTATGGTTATAATTTTTGCATCATATTTGTTTTAGTATGATCTATCGTTGTTGATTGTGTTATCCTTTGCACTTGTACTAATGTCAGATGGTTTCTCCTAATGCTAATTGCCTGTATGTGGTTAAAGCATCTATGGCACATAGATCATCAGATGAATCCTTATTCTATGCTATATGATTTTTTTTTCACTAGCACTTTATTTACCTTCAATGGCATCTGTTACAGCTGAAAATATTTGCAGGATTGGCCTTTCCTCCCATTTACTTCTACAATGGAGGAGTTAGAGAGTTCCTTGCTACAATAAAGCAACATGTTTTTATTGCGAGGTAGGTTGTTTTTAATTTTAATTGTTCTTTTCAACTTGAAATCCTTTGATTGTGAGTAATGAGCATAGTTGGAGACAGAATAAATTTGTTTTTTGGACTAGAATATATATTTTTTATTATTGCAATATGAATGTCGAATTCCCTAGTTTGTTTTTCTGACAATCTATTTTAATTTAATATGATTGATTTTTGTTCATTTGAACCACATAAAATTGTTATTAAGGTAACAAATAAAATTGCCCATTCAATACAAAGTTGTGCTTGAAAATTGGATCACGTAGTATTAGATTCGGGTTGGGATTCCACAGTCCTATAAGATCCAACTGGTTATAGAAGAGTCATGTAACACAGATAATCATTGCAAACAACTGGTTATATGGACTTTCCAGAAGATTTTGTTAAATATTAGGCAATTAAAACTTTATCTACCCTATTAAGGTTGGTTTCTCAAAGAATTATCTATAATTAGAGATTAGTAAGTTGTTAGTTGTTAATTATTGGAGGGTTTGTTGAATCATGTACCTATAAAATATAATATGGTGCATAATTTGGATTCCAATAAAAAAAAAATCAATCTTCACCGAGAGGTTGTCCTGGGAGCAAATATATAATGGAGCTTTAATTTTTGTTTATTATAGGTCATCAGATGTAATTTTGCCTATCACTATAAAAAAAAAAAGGGAAAACTACAAATCAGTGCATGTGATAAAAATAATTTGCAATATCTGGCAGTGCAACTCTTTTTGTGTAAAAAACACAGCAAATGTTACATCCCAAGAAGATTCTCACCATTTTGGCAAGTTTTTGCCACACTTCCCACTGAATTGTAATCTCCCCTAGAAAAAATGGTGGAAATAAGGAAAAGCAAAGGAAAATGAGAAAAGTTCTTTAGAATCTGTTGAGATCCCATGCATGTTGTTTAACATAAATATGGCGCTAACGTTGAAATTCCAAAAATATATTTACTCCAACAGTCGGATCTGCTGTTGAGTGTGGTTCAGTTTTTATCTGATCCACACTACTCCAACAGTTTAGGGTGCTAAATTGTATTGAAATTGAATATCCCAACCTGCTGTGCTTAATTGCCTTTACTCACAGTTTAGGGTGCTTCTTGATCCAGTTCACTTTCACTCAGTTCTTGAACTTGTGTACCAACAGGAAGATCATGCAAAATGTGCTGCGCGCAAGAGAATCAGGAAAATGGGTTCTCACTGCTCCTTTCAGGTTACTCAAATCAAATCACCTGGGAGTCATATTGACTTTTGCTGTCTACAAGACAGATCTCCCCTCAAATGCAACATCAAGTGAGAGGATTCAAGCAACTGATGGGTATGTTGTCTGCCCAAAAATCAAACTTGTCATTAGCTCCTTAAGGGGGAATAGAGAAGAGAAGAAATAAATAAATATACAATGATGACAATTGAATAACTGATCCTATTCATAAAATAAATTGTATTTAAAAAATATAAAACAAATTTAGAGGTCATCGCAAAGTAAAATAGAATTAATTGAGTTGATGTACTGTCTTAGCTATAAGTAATGAGTGCAACTAGAAATTTCAGGATGCAGACAAGATTAGAAAGATTGAATTAGATAAGAACTTCATTTAATGTTTCACTACTGCCAAGCAGGTACCTTGGCGGAGTCTTCGATATCGAATCAAATGTGGAGAAGTTGCTTTAACAACTTGAAAGCAAACAAACAATACTTGTGAATGTGTATGATACCACCAACTTTTCGCACCCTATCAGCATGTATGGCTTGAATGTATCAAATGATAGGTTACATCATGTTAGCACACTTAACTTTGGTGATCCGTTCAGAAAACATGAGATGCGTTGCAGGTGATCTATTTAATCCTATCTGTTACTGTGTATTTTAGAGGGGTCAATGCGAGTTCTTAGATTGAGATTCAAAGTGATAAAATGGACTTACAACTAAGTTTGTTCTTGAAGCAGATTCAAACAAAAACCACCATGGCCATGGTTTGCGATGATGATTTTAATTGGTATCCGCGTAATTGCATTGCTTCTTGGGCATATAATCAACACAACAGTGAATCAAATAGCCAAAGTTGAGGATGATTACCATGAGATGATGGAGCTAAAGAAACGAGCAGAGGCAGCTGATGTTGCTAAATCACAGGTATTTGATAGTTGTAGTTCATGTATTGAAATTTTGTTAGGCTTCACCTAATATGTCTACATGGTTCTAATTGAATTTCAATCCTCTGTAGTTCCTTGCTACTGTGTCCCATTAGATCAGAACCCCAATGAATGGTGTTCTTGGTAAGTTTTTGTTATTGTCCTTTATCATTTTAAGTCATTTAAATACATTGCTTTGGGGAAAACATTAAAAAATTGTTTAAAAATAAACAAAGAAAGTGGGGTTGTTGAGTGATGTCTGTATATATGTTTATTCAACAGGAATGTTGCAGATGCTAATGGACACAGATCTGGATGTAACTCAACAAGACTATGTCAAAACTGCACAGGGCGGTGGAAGAGCGCTGGTTTCACTAATAAATGAGCTTTTGGACCAAGCAAAGATTGAATAAGGTAAGCTCGAGCTTGAGATTTACAGAGATATCTAAAGATCAAATCCATCAAGCTGATTCACAATTTCAAGCATAGTGCACTGAACCTCATTGTCTCCACCCACACCATCATCAAAAAACACGATACAAGCTTTTTGGAACGTGCCATCTGAAATAGTTCACGAACCAGACGAGCACCCTCCCCAACATACGTCTTAACAAGTTCACTTCCAATAACACGGATGAAACACGCATCAGTTCTATTAGCCACAGCTCTAGCTAAAAGTGTCTTACTGGTACCAGGTGGACCATAGCATAGAACACCCTTAGGAGGGTCGATTCCGAGGTTCACAAACTTTTCAGGATCATTCCTTTGAAGTAACTACATAAGGAGAAACAAATAAACCATAAACAAAGAAAACGAAAAGAAAAGAAAAGAAACGAAAAAACAGAGAAAATCATAAATAAGAGGAAGATTGTTTTCAACATTGTAGTAGTCTTCTATGTCTGTCTGTGCTTGTTAAGCTTGATTGTGTTTGCCATGACCATTTATGAACCTTGCACTTTTCTCTGTGTAAACATGAGTCTCATTGTCCAATCTGTTAATACCCATTCCAAATTTGTAATTAGCAGCTTATACTCTGAAATTGATAATTTAATTACCTGCAAATGAGTTAGAAATTTTGATTTGAACTTACGATTCTCTAAAATTGATAATTTAATTACCCATTTCAAATATTTTCATTAAAAACAAACCTAACATTATTTCTCATTTTCTTTGGTATAGATGGATGATGGATGATCTCGTGCATGAAGCTAAATTGTACAAGACTACGTGGCAGTATAAGCATTTTTGGGAGGATTAAATATTTTTGGATGGATGTGTATAGATAACAAATATTAGTAGTTTTATTTGTTGATAGCTGCGCATGGATAACAAATAGTTATGTTTCAAATTGTTATGCTAGATGGATGTGACTTGTGAATGAAAACTTAGAATAGTTGTATTTTGTCGAATGTTAATGAATTATGTATTGTGTCGAATATTAGTTTTCCTGCTTTGGCGACCAATTTATTAGTCGTGACAAATAAATAATTTTTTTTTTGCAAAAAATGACAATTGCCGACCAAGAGTTTTGGTCGCAAAAAATACATCTATTGCCGACCAAAACAGCTCTTGGTCGTGGAAACTCACTTTTGCCGACCAAAAGTTTTGGTCGCGAAAAGTAACAAATGGCGACCAAATTTTTTGGTCGTGGAATGTCACAATTGGCGACCAAACTTTTTGGTCGTTGAATGTGATAATTGGCGACCAAACTTTTTGGTCGCGAAATGTGTCAATTGGCGACTAAGATATTTGGTCGGAAAAATATCACTTTTTGCGACCAAAGTGTTTTAGCAACAAAATGAATTAGTCGCGGTAATTAAATATTTAGCGAGCAAAAATTTAGTCGGCAAATCCAACTTTTGCCGACCAATCAAAATTTTGGTTGCGAATTACTTTTGTCGACCCTCAATTGGCGACCAAAGTAGCGACCAAAAAAATTGGTCGCGGATAACTTTTGCCGACAAAAAATAGACTTTTAGCGACCAATTTTTTTGTTTCCAAAAGTGTTAATTCTTGTAGTGTTAATTGACTTGATGATTTATTAATAAAAGAATTTATTTGTCATGAAATTAGAAATTTCAGAGGCGAGGTGTAATTTTTAAAACTACAGAAGACAATTCGTATTTTAAATAAAACTCAAAAAATATATTTTTAATTTACCCTGACTTCTAATAGTAAACAATATTCTAAAAGAACTTGGTAGCATTTGCCTTTCTTAAAATGTTATTGATCTGATCGATCAAATATTGTTATTTATAATAATAATCCGATTCATTATGGTCGAGAGTGATAATTCTTCATTCATTCAATTTACAAGTGAATTTTTTTTTAATGTCTATGAAATTAAATAATTATGCATAGAATAAAACATCTTCAATATACACAACAACTCTCTATATTCTAAATATTACAATTTATATTAAAATACAAAGCTGTAAATTACCAAACATGATCACTTTGTCTTTCCACCTCCAGGGGCTGCAAACTCCACAATTATGGCACTCAAAAAATAAAAAAATAAAAATAAAAACAATGAAGACAAGTGCTAGTTAGCAATCAACAGAGCGGAAATAGCTGGGGACGAAAAATTGGTAAGGACCAATAACAAGACTTTATCAAACTTCCATTCGAAAACATTTCGATGACGATCTTCTTCAAGATGCGAAAAGGGCACACGATCACTCCCCAATGCACTACTTGGCGACACCGGAGGTACCCTCCTCGATGATGCCGCTTATTCCCCAGCCGTATGGCAATGCCGCCCTTTCGCCGCCTCAGCCGCCTCCGTGTCCGACACCACCCAACCACCACGGTGGAGTTGGAAAATAGAGAGATCGTAATAGCACTTCTCTTAAGCATTGCTTTGTGCAAGCTGTTTTGTAAATTCCATATTCTTAATAGTTTTATAGCATGCTAGTTGCAACTTTAATGCAGCACAAAGTAAGTTAAATCATGATTGTCATTATAACAGGAATTAAAACAATGATGATGTTTAGGCCTGATGCTAATTTAAGATTTAATAAATATTACTTTTATTGCTTTTCCATCTTTAGCCTTTAGGGGTGTGGGTGTCATCATTGGAGATGGGTTCTAATATTATACAATTTGAGCTTCTTTTATTTTATTTATTTTTTTGCTCCTTTTCTATCAATCAAATACAAGATCAAGCCGGAGAAGACAAAATAGAATTAAAGTAAACTAGAAATATTATGATGCGAGGTATTTTGTATTTACCTGAAGGGATTTTTTGACAGAGTAGATAGTGGAGACTGAAGTAAAAGGGCCAATGAAATAAAGAGCAAAAGTAAGAAAAGACAAAATAAAATTCAGCAGTGATTTAAACTCCCTCAAACTTCAACTCCTATCACCCCACACACACGTGGCGGGTGGTGATTGGAGGAGGAGAAAAAAAAGAAAAAGAAAAAAAAAAGTGACCAATCAATAAAGAAAGAGGTCAAAAGGGGGTGGGGAAAAGGGGATCCCAATCTTTTTTCAATAAAATTACAGATACCATAAATGTTATGATGTGCGATTTTCGATATTTATTATAGATCAAAGGAAATTTTACAAAGCAGAGTGGTGAAAATTCGGTTGTTTTTCGAGGTAAATTGAAGAGGATTAATAGAAAAGTGAATTTCGAGGTAAATTGAAGAGGATTAATAGAAAAGTGATTGTTAGTGAGAGAATTAAGTAAAATTATATTTATTTTGATGATAGTTGTTAGTGTGGAGATTGTTAAATTATTTTTATATAAAATAAATAAAACTATGATTTTTACTTAACAAAAAATACAAAAACATTAAACATTAATGTTCAAAATGTGCTGCACAACACATACAAAAAAAAAAAAATCGCACTTGGCCGGTGACGTCCGGTAACACCTTTAGCTGAACGGACTATTTTTTAATACCATCTTTTAGCCCAGATTCCTAATTTACTCGCTAAGGCCTTTCATAATCCAAAGGAGACTACAAATCTGGAGCTCACTTTACAAAATAAATATGAATTATTTTACTGTTCCTCACTAACTATCCACTCTAAGCTGCTATTGCCGGAAACAAACAGTGCTTTAAGACTAAAGTGAAAAAGCCCAATCAATAGTCACCAAGCCTTTTTAGAAGTTCAGGGGCAACACCCTAGCCTGAAGATTAAGTGGTATATATTTATTTTGCATAGAGTTTTGAGTGTGCTATATTTATTTTGCATAGAGTTTTCTTGTAATCCTCTCTCTCTTTCTCTATGCGCTTTGAAAGTACATATCCTGCTGAATGAAGTTATCTTAAGTTTATTTTTCTTTCTATTTCACTACATTTAGTAATTAAAATCACGATTTGGTATTACAGTAACGAACCTAAATAAAAAAGAATGGAACTCAATAAATTTTGTGTCTATGGATAAAGCTGAATCCGTGGAAGTGCTGCATAGCAGGAGAAACGGTAATGAGGAGTGGAGTCTTATTTTCAGAAGATTCATTTTTCAGCGGGCGGTGGAGGAATTGAGGAGGCTGAATGTGCTGTTACTTAGTGCACTTGTCCTTAGGGAATGTATGATTGATAGTATGGGGTGAAATGCAGATTCACTAGGTTCTTTCACTGTTGCCTTAGCCTATAATTGGTGTCAGCTGTCTTTTGAAGCTACTAGCAGAATTGCTGAGTCCATTTGAAAGAATGCTTCTCCTCCCAAGGCTCGATTTTTTGGGTGGCTAGCTTGGAAAGGGCGGATTAAGACATTTAACTACTTTCAAAGAATTGGTGCTCTCAATGGTGCAGCATATGTAAATTGTGTTTTTTATAATGTCGATGTGGAGAGTGTCAATCATGAACTATTGTTTTGCCCTTTTGTCTGGCAAATTTGGTTCAATATTATTAATTGGTGGGGTTTAGATTGGGCGATGCCTGGGTCTGTGAGTAGCCTTTTCCATTGGTGGGCTGGTGCTAAGCTCAAAAAGCAGGAGAAGTTAATTTGGAAAGCCATCCCTATGGCTGTGCTCTAGTCCATCTGGAAACAGAGAAATGGTAGCATTTTTAATGGAGCACAGTTGGATCTTGAAAGTTTGTATGATTCTATCAAGCTTAGGATTGCAATGTGGGTCAAAACCTCATGCCCCTCTCTGTGAATTACTCAATGAATGACATTATATATAATCTGCAGCAAGTTAAATTCTGCATATAGGGTGATAGTTGAGTTGCTGTTGGGTGTGGCTACTGCTGGGTTGCATTTTGGGTGTGGCCTGTTTGATGCTTGGGTCATGCTTCTTGTCGGTCTCTTTGTTTGCTTTTTGTTGTTGTTGGTTCCTCACCAACCTTTCTACTTTGATGCTTTCTGTACTTTCTTTCTTTATTGATATAATCTCATATAAAAGGTATATTTTTTTTGTCAATAAAGATTCTTTTTGATAATAAAAAAAATAAATTTTATTTTTGAGAGGGTAATTTATGTGACAATTGGGCCGAGCTGGGTAATCAGCCGTTATGAGCTGGAGTACAAAGGGCGGAGCAAAATGGCTATGTAAGTTACTCCGGTCGTGTGGATATTTTGAATTTAGTCCGGTCCTAAGGCCGTGAAGCTAGTCCGGTCCGACAGAAGATCGAAGTTAGATCGGTCTAAACGGTACTTTGGAGTTAGACCGGTCTTGGAGTTACACCGGTCATGACATGTTAGTCCGGTCTAACCACGCCATGGGTTGTACAGGAGAAGCCGATGTAAGAGCAGTAAAAGGAAGAGTTAGTTCGGCTTATTTTGCGGCTATGCATAGTCATGTTTACTACGGTCATATTGGAGTTCGGCCATGATAAAACCATCTCACTTGGTTTAAGCAGTGAGGGGGGTGTTGAAGGATAAGCATTATCTTTCAGGAGTATGAATCCTAGGAGGACTCTGCATGGAGAAGAAAAAGTCCTACTAGGATTGTGCCACACGAAATCTATAAGAGCTCACAAACATCACCTTTGGAGAGGTAACACACAATTTTGTTTTCTGAATACACAGAGCTTTTGTCTATTTGTCAAGCTTACTGACTTAGGCATCGGAGAGGTTTCCGGCACACACCCGCCGGCTAGCTTACGTTTGTGTTTTCAGGTGATAAAGCGACGACGTACAGAGGAGCGCAGACTTGATCAACAGGATTATACGAGAAGGTTTATTTCTTTTCCGTACAATTGGCGCCGTCTGTGGGAATTTCAGACAGGACAAAACCTCTTGATCAAGCTTTACCTCTTTAGGAACAATGGCGCACATTGAAGAATTACCACAGTCCGCCATCGACAGGCAAACACCAGATGGGGGTGCAAGGCGTGAAGGATTACCTTCTATCCCTCCCATGGCAGACTTGGAGCCCTAACGACATAACTCCAGGAGAGATACTA